ATTTTTACACCTAAAAATCCAATAGCCTTACCTTAGTTTTAAAAATACCTATTTGTTCTATAGGCTTACTAAGACAAACAATTTTTATTTTTATGTAGTTACTAGCTGTCTTTTTTTTTTCCCTTTCTGATTTGCTTAATTTTCTTTGTCCCTATCACTAGTCTATCTCTCAAATTTGCACAATTAATATAAATCTCAAGGAACCCTGATAGTACAGTTTGTTAAGAGCTTAGATCAGCTGGTAACTGAAAGATCTGTAGTTCAATCCTACAAGCTTCTGTGCCAGACAAAAGGCCTGGTAATCTGCTCCCATGAAGATTATAGTCCATGGAATCCTGTGGGCCAGTTCTACTCTGTCATATGGGGTCACAATGAGTCAGAAGTGACTCACTGACACACAACAACAAAACAGTGTAAATCTCACACTCATTAAATCACCAGGGAAACTAGATTCTGTCCTTTTCAGCTTTTCCTCTTTCATCTTCTGGAAGATGTTGATCCTGGAGCCCTAAATCCACTGCCATTGAGTTGATTCTGATTCATAGTGACCCTCAATGGGTTTCCAAGGCTGCAAATCTTTACAGAAGTACATTGCTTTGTCTTCCTCCTGTGGAGCAGCTGGTGGGTTTAAACCACCAATATTCTGGTTAGGAGCCAAATGCCTTACCCACTATGCCCTAAGAGCTCCTTCCTGGAGCCCTAACCATTCTGATTTTTCTGGACTATGTTTATTTTTAGGCATGCCCTAGTATGGTTGTCCTGGTATCTCCCCAGCATTCATCCTTTTCTGTGTGGTATCTCTTTCTTGAATCTATCGTTCTTCTTCTTGATTCACTCTTTTAGGCAGATCATTTTCTCCAGGAACTTTGTGAGAAATAAAGAGCCCTGGTAGAGCAGTGGTTAATTCCTTGGCTGCTAGCCAAGAGGTCAGAGGTTAGAACCCACCAGCTGCTCCACTGGAGAAAAATGTGGCAATGTGTTTCCATAAAGATTTACAGCCTTGGAAACCAGATGTTGTAGCTCTGCTATGTCCCATAGGATTTCTATGAGTTGGAATTGACTCCATGACAATGGATTTTGTTTTCTTTTTTTTAAAGAATGAGAGATAAGAGATAAATTTGGAGACCACATATGCCTGCAAATGTCTTTATTTTACTCTTCGTCTATAGTTTGTTTGGCTTGCATTTTGTAAACATAATCTTCTAGTTTCCAGTATAGCCAATGAGGAAGACCTTGCATGACATTCTAATTTCCTATCCTGTGTATGTACCTTCATACTTGAGTTGAAATTGACTAAATGTCAAGAGGTTTCTTTGTTTTTGTTTTAGTATATGACTTTTTTTTTTGGGGGGGGGGCTTCTTTATTCTTTGCCAGCTATTAATATATTTGTTTCTCAGTGTTTTGAAATTTTTCATTGATGTGCAAACTTTTTTTATCCATAATTCTGGTTTGTAAACTTATGTTCTTCATTTGTTTTCAACCTTTTCTTGGGTAATTACCCTCTTTATTTTATTTGCTCTATCTTTCTGGAATCACTATTATCCAGATGTTGAATGTCAATGGACAAAACTCTGAATTATTACGTTCTTCTTTTTTCCCCTAATCTATATGTACTTTTCATTTATTTTAGGTCTTTCATTCCATATCTGAACCATCTTTCAAATCCTGTGATGACTTTTTTCCCTTTTTTTAACTTTTCCTATCATAATTTTAATTTCAGAGAATCTATTTGGATTTCTGCATGATTCTTAAATACTCTTATTATTTCATAGACTCAATTTTTTCTTTTATTTATAAATTCTTTACAAACATGTCCCACTCTGTTTGCTTCTTCCAAATAACTTTTTTGAGAGGATTGCTTTCAATATTTTACATAAAGGAATAGCAGTGATGTCATGGATTGGTTGGTGAGGTTTCAGTTAGTCTCCTTGAATATGAGGAAGGGAACTCATCAGTGTATATCAATATATACAATAGTTGCTTACTCCATTGCCGTCCAGTTGATTTCAACTCATAGCCACCCTACAGTGCAGAGTGGAACTGCCTCATAGGGTTTCCAAGGCTGTATTCTGTCTGGAAGCAGACTGCTACATCTTTCTCCCATGGAGTGGCTAATAGGTTCAAACCGTGGACCTTTTGATTGGCAGCTAAATGCTTCACCATTGTGCTCAGTGTTCCTTATAGTTCCTACTGCTGCTGTAGCAACAACAAAACAAACCACAAATGGGTGGATTTGAAGGTCAAAAATCTATTTTCTCACAGTTTTGGAGGCTCAAAATCCAAGGGAGAGTCTGCCACGTCAATTCCTTGCATGGGCCTCTCTCCTAGTTCCCGGTTTCTGTCATCATCCTCGATTCCCCTTTGCTTGCACGTGGGTCCTCATGTAGAGTCTGTTTTCCCAGTGTGTGTGCGTCTGTGTCTGTTCTTCCCTTTTCATAAAACACCGTGCAGAACTGTTTAAGTCCATGTCCCTTACTCTAGTATGGCCTCATTAACATTAAAAGGAAAACCCTATTTCCAAACTGTCATACTTAGAGGTACAGGGGTTTGGACTTCAACACCACTTTTTTAGGGACACAGTTTAGTAGACTTGCACCTAATACTCTGTCTTATTCTGTGGTACCCTATACTCAGGATCCCTGTGGTTTCTGCAGATTGCTATAGAGAGCAAACCTCCTGCCTTCTGCTCTGGTAGTTTCTCTATATTCCCAGTAACATGGTATAAAGTGCAGTATTTGAGGAGCTAACTTTTCTTCCAACGAAGATTATAAGTTAATTTTCTAACTACCACCCTTTCTGTGCCAAACTGTGCCTCCTCTCTACTACCAGAATAAATTTACATTTGTCAGGTTTCTAAATCAGGTCCCATTTTTACATTTGTTTTCCAGCTTCTAAAATTGGCACTGTTTCTTCCTCTGACGTTGTGTGTGTATGTGTTTGGTGTTTTATCCCTTGCCTTTACTGAAGTGGCACTTCAGTAGGATGCCAAGGGAAATACGTGTGTTCAAACTTTCATCTTTTGTATGACCCCATGACAGTTTTAAATTAGCAATGTAGACTTTTCTCTGAGCATTAAAATCTTAGACTTTCTCTCTCTCCACGATCCAAATATAGGACAACTTTTCTCCTTGACCTTGACTTGGCAATATTTCATTCATATTATGGGAAAATTTGAGGAAAATTAGCATGTTTAAATTAAATATTTTAATCCTTTTCATAATCTGTGCTTCTTTTTGTGAAGGTTTTCTGTAATTTCAGTGATGTTTACTATTTTTTTTTTTTTTTCTTGGCACTGAGGTGTTACACGTCTTTTGATACATTTAGTCCTATGTATTTACACTTTGGGATGCTATTGTAAATGGCCACTGCCACAGCTGCTGCCCCTTCCCATCACCAAAGTGGTGCTCCTATTACCCACGAGGCATAAAATAACAAGCACATAGAATTGCACAGATCAGAACTATTTGAAATGATTTAGTAGTTATTTACTCCAGTGGCAATTAGCAGAGTCACAACATCCCTGATTCTAACATAGAGTTAGGTCATTGTAAACCTTTGCCTTGTTCTTGGTAGTTAACCCCTTCTCTGAGTGGTGTGTAATTTATTGCCACTTACAAAAGTAATTTTAGCATTTGCTGCTGCCTTAGAAAATTTTGAAATGCTTAGTATACATATTTTGGTAGGTTTTTTGCTGCATTTTATTCTTATTTATTGAGGATATGGGAGAGAAAAATCAAGATTTGAAATAAAGATAATTAAATTTTTGCCTGGCCTAACATTATTTACCTGACTTTAATTCTTCAGTACATATTTTTACATCTTTAAAATGTGTTTATCATTAATATGTTTTATATTAATGTTTATAATTAAACTATCACTTTTAATTGGCAACTTTTTTTTTCCTTTTAGTGTGCTACAAACTAATTTTGCAACATATAAATTGTATAAAAATTGCTGAAATATAATTTTTAACAAAAAGTAATAATTAATTTATAAGTACATGCTCAAGGTCATTGCATAATTATGTCTCCTAGTTATCAATGTCTTTGTTAGTATTATAAACTTAGGACATCATGATTCTCCAGGAAATTACACAAACCCAACATAAACTCTCACTTCCACTCCTCTATTTTTACAGCTGTGTCATTCTCTGTTTATGTCAGAATGGCACCTGCAGCCTCTTCCAGAGTCTCCTGGTGGTATGTGAATTATACAAGGGAGTCCCCAGCCAGCCGTCAACCTCTGTCATCCTCCCTTCTTGGGCCCACTGCTGCTTTCCTTTTCCTTTCATTATTGCTTCAAAGATTAGTTACCCTATGAAGCTCCATCTGAGTGTCAAACAAATAAACCATCATAACCATGATGATGAATTTTATATCAGAAAGAATTCTTTATTTTGGACTTCCCTTTCCTCTGCCACACTACTTGGGGATCAGTCATAACATGGCTTATACCTATACACAGATATGTGGATTTGACACACATATTTGTGTATTTCCTCACCTGACTTTCACCACTCATGTGTATATTATGGCAGGAGTGATTTTTCTCATTTTACAGATAAGGAAAGAGTTCTCACATAGTGGGTGGCAGATTTCAGATTACAGTTTATTTCTATAACTGAATCAATTGTGTTTTCTTCTTATCTATTCTGCCCTTTAATATCCTGACACGGATTGTCTAGACTACTTCTGTTATTTTTGAGTTTCCATTTAATAATATTCTAATAAAGAGCTTGACCAAGCAATGACACTTTTCATGTTGCCTAGAATAAAATTAAAGTATATAGGCTTTATTGTATCTGTTATCTAGTCTTTTTATTTATGATTAATTCATTTTTCAATTGAGGTGGAAGAATGATAGCACAAATTGATTGTTTTGAGGAGGGAAGGAATTTAATAGTTATGTTCAGCTAGAAATGCATTTTAAAGAATATGCCTTAAACTAACATTGATTTTACTTGTCTATAACCTTTTTCCAACACCTCTTTTATTTCTAGTTATGTTTCGCCTTTATGACACGGATGGGAATGGCTTCCTGGACAGTTCGGTAATTTTTTTTCTTCAAATTTTCTGTGAAAATTTCAAAGTAGTTTCTTCTGAAAAATCATCTGAAAAATGCAATGAATAAATTTATAGTTATTACCACAGAAGACACACTTAATATAATTTCCATGTACTCATGCAGCATTTTTATCATCTGGGTTTTTGAAAAAGAGTGATCTGTGAAAACTGGTAGGATTACAGCTGTTCTATTGAACATTTTTGCTACAAAGACATTACCTTTTTTTTTTTTTTTTCTTGCACTGAACTTAGATAAAAAAGGAAGACTCCAACGTGGTCTGAATAAAACATAAAGTTGAGATCGTTGAACTAGAAAGAAGGAAACATTATCAGCAAGATTCAACACTAAGGAAAATATGAAGAATATGAGTAGAATTTAAAGGAATTAAAGTTAATTTAACTATTTTATTATTTTCCCTCTTCTAAAAAGTATTCTTAGTTGAATATGCTGTTGAAATAAATGGATTTACATATTGCTTTGACAAAATTCCCTTTTTAAAAATCTCATCCAATTTTATATGCAACTTGCACTCTATACTTTTAGTTATAAAAATGATAATGGGAGAAGGTACCATATTTGTATGATTAACTGAAAAGAATAATACAGTTTTTAAGTTTCTTCTTATGATTTGTCTAAAAGGAGTAATTAAATATTTTTGACTGTAATATGTGCAAATCAGTCATGGTTTTCAGAGAAGGTGAAGTTAGACATTCAGTTCTAGGGAAAAAATAAACCAAAAAATAAATAAATAAAATAACCCAAACCTACTGTCATTGAGTTGATTCCAACTCATAATGACCCCTATTGGGTTTCCAAGGCTGTCAAACTTTACAATAAGTAGATTGCCTAATCTCCCTTCCGTGGTGCAGCTGGTGGGTTTGAATTGCTGATCTTCTGGTTAGCAGCCAAATGTCTTACCAAGTATGGCAGCAGAGCTCCTTCTTAAATCCATCTCAGGTTCCCTTTAGTTACTTATTTTACATTAGCTGATAGGATATTTTGCATATTATATTATTTATGACTAAAATAAACATTTTCTCTGACAATGACTGAGTTTCCCTCATCATCTTATAGACTTTCAGGAGCAAAGTAATGAGGGTGTGGACATTTTTATGCAACACTGAGTAGGATGATGCCACATCAGCTTCTCCAGACTGAGATAAAAATATAAGATGCCTACTCTAGGAAATGACTGCCACTCTGCATTGATGCTGTGACTTTGAGATTTCTTATGGTTAAATCTATAATTTTTAAGTGCTATTTTTTTCTTAAGTGCCTGATATTCAGTTTTTGTTTAAGAATATTAAACTATGATAAAATTGCTCATTTTCTGATGACATTTCCCAGTGAATAATTTAGATTTTTTGAGATATTTCAATATGTTTATTTTAGCACTTTGATTACACTGATACAAAATGTATTACAATGCAGATTTGTTTCATATAATGTTGCTTTTTAATTAAATTTGAAAGATGTTTCTTTATCAGGCTTTTAGCTGTGGATTTGCAGATGATTTAGAAATCTATTCAAATGCTTTTTTTCTTTTTGCTCTCTGCCCATTTTTTATAAACATATAGTAGATTACTAGCAATATTGATTACTATGTTCCCAATATTGAACAATGAGTTGTGGATGAGTAAATTTGTACATAGTAAAGCTAGATTTTTTTTTTTTTTTTTTTTTAATAATCAAAGATCTTGGTTTAATTTTTAGACTTTTTTCTCTACAGTCTCTTCCCTAGTATGTTTTCTTAAATATCATGTTAAAATTGTACCATTTGAAATGATTTGTCTTGGAAGTTTAAAGGTGTAGCAGTTCACTTATTAGAGGCAAATAGAAAGAAAATGAGTTATTTGAAGAATGATCATTATGTCTAATAATAGTTAATGTTTATTACTTACTTTGTGCCAGACACCAATTAAGCGTATTTTACATAAAAACATGTTCAGTCTTCACAGAAACTCCATGTTGCAAATTGAAGGCTAGACTATCCATTTTACTGATAAGAAAACTGAGTCTTAAGAGAAGTCAAACCTCTGATCTAAGATATTTAGTAAATACCCATGGGAGGTAGAAGAACATACAATAAAAGAGCTTAATGTATTTTCAGACCATAGTCTCTTATTCTTTTTATGTTTTAAATTATTATCCTAGAAAGGGCCACTTAATCCATTTAATTAACTTAAAATTACAAGCATTTTACCAAGTCCTGCTTAATCTTTTCTGGAGATAGATAGGGAAAAATTAAAACATAGAATAAATATGTATGGAATATTTTTAATTTATTTAGCCAAGCTATGTGTATTAACTAGCAGTTCTTCAAAGAACTGGCATTTGAGCAGACTAATACAAAAATTCAAACAAAAATTCTATCCCCTTACAAAATAAACTCTACATATACTTAGCCTCCTGTCCTCGACCTTGAACACTCCTCTAGCGGAACAAGCCATCTCAATAAGTGGTTAGTATACAGTCAGTATACTTCCCAGTATATCAAAACAAAAATCAACCTCTCAGTTGCCCTCCAACACTTCCTTCCTCCCTTCCACACCCTTTTCAAGCCAAAAGGTCAGTGCAGTCAGTGACTTAAAATCGCAGCTTGTGGAAATATGTAGGCTCCTATTTAATCAGGCTGCCTTCATGGAGAAGAAACTTTTCTTTGTATTATTGCACCCCCTCCTGGTGAAAATTTCAAGACAAAATGTAAGATTGATTCATGTTCATGTTCTTTTTTTTGTGTGGGAGAACCAGTGTGCACTCAGCATTTGCTTAAGTGCTTGACTACTGTCTGAAAGGTTGGCAGTTCAAATTCAATCAAAAGTGTCTTAGAGGAAAGACTTAGAGGTCTGCTTCTGAAAGATCACAGCCTTGGAAACTATGGAGTACAGTTCTACTTTGCACATATGGGGTCAATGGCTACTGGTGTAGTTCTGTGTTTTTTAGGGTTTCTGAGTAATTGATCAGGCATATATAT